GTAAAGAAAGGCATTCGTCACCCAAGCCTGGCAACCTGAGTTTGACTCCTGGAACCCGCATGAAGGCAGAAGAAGAGACTCGTCTCTACGTGTGAGACACGTAGATTCATACACACATCATACATATACACATACACACATAGATAATAATAAAAATGTTTAAAGAAAGAAGTCATCTCAGAAATAGATACATATACATATTTATTCACAGGAAGTGCCAGTTAATGGCTTTAATATTAACAGTGGTCATCAGAGTTCTCTCTCACACACAAGCATAAAGTGCAAAAGGTCTATAAATTCCCCCGGAGCAATGGTTAATGTCACCTCAGCCAGAGTACATACCACCCACATACAGCACACCCTACATAAAAGTATAAAACACAGTATGATATCGGAAAATACTCTATTTACTTGGATTACATATTGTGGTTATAAAATAGTTTTTGATCTGATTTGATTGTAAGAAAAGATACAAGCCCTTTGGAGTGACTTAAGAGACTGTGGGAGAATAATGTCTATAAAATCTAATGAGAATCCCACTCTGGCCAGAGATGCGTCCTTGGCCATTGGGACCAACAGCACCTAGGTCAAGCCCTGGTTAGGAGGAATCCAAGCTCAGCTAGAGAAAGGAACTGGGATAGAGGGCTTGGCAGGCCAAGCTCCAGTCCTTGCCTGGACCCCAGAGATAGTCATCAGACCTGAGGGAAGAACCAGGGAAGGTTCAAATCCCAGTGCTGGCTCAGAGTGGGGTCAGAAGGAAACGACTTCTGAAGGAGGTTTTAGTCGCCTGAGAAACCCAACCATCTAGATTTGTCCTTCAACACAACACTGTTGACCTGCAATGACTGTTTTAGGCACTTTTCACCAGAGAGACCCCCACTTCCCCCGCATGGATCACGTTACAAATGGATACAGACATTAAGAGCTCCACTGAAGAGCTGGCTTTGGCATCACGGGGCACTAGAGAGAGGAGCTCTCCTCCTAAGAATCAACCATGGATCAAAACTGTAAAATCATGGACAGAGATGATCACTTGGTGACACTTGGCTTTCTATGTCCTGAGATGGGAGGCAGATTTGGGACAGAATACCCTGATACCCATGCTAGTGACGGTGGTCATGACCCTACCCATCAGGGAGGGAGAAGATTCTGGACTCAGTGGCCTCAGCCTGTCTTTACCACTCTTAAACATGACAGTCCATGAAGTTGCATCTTTAACAGCCGTTTACCATGACACGGGGATCCAAACGTGAAGTGTTGCATTGAAAGCTGAAATCAGTCCGTGTCTCCGGGGCCGCTCCAGTCAGGCTTCATGGAAAAGGCAGTTCCAGCAGTGAGCTCAGAGTCCAGCAATCAGCCTTCCAGAGGAAGCCAGCTCGAGTGTACTCCGCGCCAACTCTCCGTGAAAATGCTGGCATCTGTACTCCATTCGAGGATACATTGTCTAACTGACATCTAATTATAGCTGTCATAGGACAGAAAGGACAGGAAGGAAACACTCCCAGAAGGCAAACATTGGCAAGGGATGCTCTAAGGCAATAGTGGCGTGGGTAATTTTTTTTTCTGCTGCTGCTTTTCTATAGCATCCCAATTTCTTCTCAACACATGGAGCTTTAACGTAAATATGAACGATGCCCAAAGCCCAGCTCAAACTCAGATTCATACATGTCTAGTCCCTTGCTAGCGAGCTATAGATCTCCGTTTATGATGTCGTTCACTCCTATAATCACGCCTAGCGCTTGAGAGGCTGCATCTGGGGGCTCATCATCAATTTGAGGCCAGCCTGGGCTACATAATGAGATTGAAGCCAGCCTGAGACAGAGGAGAAAGCTCTGTCACAGACAGACGAGAAAGAAAGAAAAAACACACCCCATCCCAAGCCAGACCTGGCGGCACATACGTGGAGAAGTTGCCCCCTGAGTCAGGCACTTGTTTCCTTTCACCCAATCATGTTCAAGCATTTCCATCAGTGTTGGACCCCCATTTCTAGTGGTGTCGGCAGTAAGTTCTCCCTGGTGAAAAGGAATGAGTCTTCCCTGACTTTGAGGACCACACCACTGCCACGGCAGCGCCCTCGGGACAAATTAAACCTTGTGTCTAGAAACCCTCTCGACAGCCAACTTTCCAGTTTATTCATGTTATTACTTTGTGTGCATAAATGTTTGCCAGCCTGTATGCATGGATCCCAGGGGACCGGAGTCACAGGGTATGAGCTTCATGTGTATGCAAGGAATTAATTCTGAGTCCTCTGGGAAAGCAATATGTAATTCTTTTTTCTTTCCTTTCCTTTTCTTTTCAAGACAGAGTTTCTTTGTGTAAAGCCCTGGCTGTCCTAGAACTCGCCTTGTAGACCAGGCTGGCCTCAGACTCACTGAGATCCGCCTACCTCTGCCTCTCAAGTGCTGGGATGAAAAGTGTGTGCCACCATTGCCCACTGTATTCTTAACTGCTGAGCTAACTCTCCAGCCCCAACCAACCCTTCCAGAGTCAGGCAGTTGGGTGTGTCTTCAATTGTGCAGGGTAGAATAGATAAGAGCAGACCACGTGCCCGGGAAGATAAGCCAGAAACAAGGATGGCTTGATTTTGCCCTCTGAAAATTTCTAGACTCAAAAACCAAAGTGCTCAGCAGCAATTCTGAACCCCTACGTAGCCACAAACATTCAACTCAAAAATCATTTTAAATATATTTTAAGCTATATAGTAAGATCACATAAACACACACTCAAAACCAAATATTTCTGCCTTGGAAATCCCCCAATCAAATAACTTGTGTGTTTGCTGCCTGGGAGATGCAGGGAATGCTATAAATTTAATAAAAGACAACTTACTTCCATAAAGATGTGTTCCTATAAACAAGAAATAACCTAACAAGTGACTTGTAAAACTTCAAAGCCACAAAAGCGAAACGGAGTCTATTCATGTAAAAACTTAAGTTCAGTTTCCATTACAGACCCTGTGAAAATTCTAACCAGGGTACAAGTTCCTGAGGTGCCAGAACCAACTAGCTGCTTCTGAGCTCATGGCTCGGAACAGTGGCCTCGTGACTCCGATCCCCGCCTCCCCACAATGGAATGTCAGAAAAGAGAAGGTGCCTGAGTTACAAACATCCCTGAGATATCCCACCTCATGCCCTGAAGACCCCTGCCTACCTGTGACCCCCAACCAGCTAATCAGGGTGTAGTGACAGACAGAAGGACAAACAGACAAGTGCTCTGAGAAACCGATTAGCACCAGGTAAGTGAGAACAAAAGCAGGAGGCCCAAGTTCCCAGGAAGCAGCAGAGGAACAGGGTCAGAGTCTTGGAGGTGACAACATCCTGGAAGCTTCCAGGGAGAACTTTCCCCCAAAGCTTCACACACACTCCACAGTCAAAACCAGAGCTGCCTCAGTGACAGAAATGAGCTGTTGGCGTGCTCAGAGGTCAAGGGGTAAGCAGAAGGGCTGTGTGTGGAGTCTTCACACCAGGGAAGACTACTAAGCTTCAGGAAGAGCAGAAACAGTGTCAATATTTAATATGTGCTTACAGCGGAGGGCAGGTTTTGGCACAGAGGGTTACTGCTTTGCCCTCTGACACCAAGTCTCCCTCTCTCAGCCGAGGTAGTGGTTGAAGGACCCACAGCTCATGGAAAACCTGCGAAGGCTGAGAGGCGCAAGTGACAAGCCTGTCCCCTCAGTCACAGGCCCACTGTGTGTTCTGTCCACTTGGTTTTGTTAAAGGACAGTGAAAAGCTCTGGCACCTTCCATCACAAAACCCGAAAGTCTTGTAAACCAGAGAAGCTGACTCCTGTGTACTGCCAAGCAAGCCACCTTGTCCAGCAAGAAGTTGCCCTGGGTCTCCCAAAGAACTGCTCTGCCACCGCCAAAATGGACAGGCAAGCAAGCCCCCATGCCTAGAAAGGATGCTGAATAAGACACACCTACTCTCCCTGAGCCCTGCATCCCCCATCTTAGGGAAGAGATGGACCTCCTCCCCAGGCACAGTGGTCCAGAGGAACAGAATTTTAAACAGACACACCCACACCGATTCTTCAACCCCCGTGGCTAGTTTTGCCAGCAAATGAAGCCCAGTGCACGAAGAGAAATAAGTCGAGAAGCCAGCCACTGCCTTGCCATCATGTGATCTTGACTGGCGACTTCTTGCGGGCACACAGGAGGGACACGTAGGGGATACCGATAAAGGCCCATTTCTCACTGGGCCAGAATCTGATGACTGGACCTTGCTCGGGTATCTCTGAGGCAGCGTCGAAGTAGGCGAAGCACACGCAGCCCAGGTATGCGGCAAGACAGATGAAGATGTGCCTGCAAAAGAGGAGAGCGGTGAGCCTGGCATAGGCTCAGACCGTGCGGTTGCAGACACCTGCATCTCCCTGGGCCACCCGCCTCCCCGGCTGTCACTTCCATCCAGAGAAATCCTGTCTTGGAAAACCAAAACCAAAAGGAAAGAAAAGAAAGAAAGAAAAAAGATAGATAAAATAAAAAAAAGTCTCACTCTGTAACCCAAGCTGCACTTGCTTGTAATCCTCCTGCCTCAGTCTGCCGACTGATGTGGGAGTGTCATATATCAATCTGTTGATTTCATTGGTTAAGTTATAATAAACCAACTGCTTGGCCTCAGCTTAGAACATAGATGGGAGGAGTAAACAGAATAGAATTCTGGGCGGAAGAGGAAGTGAGGTCAGACTCTGCTCTGCTCCCGGAGAGACCCGACAGCTCTGCTGGAGCAGAGACGCCATGCTCAGCTCTCCCGGGTAGACGCGATAGCTCTGCTCTCTGAGGCACACGCGATGAAGATGGATGTAGGCTAGAATCTTCCCGGTAAGCGCACCTTTATTAGACACATCATTAGAAATGGGCTAGACCAGGTGCGAGAATTAGCCTGTAAGGGCTAGAGTTCATGGGCCAAGCAGTTCTTTAAATGAATACAGTTTGTGTGTTATTTCGGGCGTGAGCTAGCCAAGCGGCTGGGGTGTTGGGGACGCAGCCCCGCCGCTCTTATTTCAATAGCCGACTATTAAGATTTTGACCCTGTACCATTATTCTCAGTTTATGTGGTGCTGGGAATCAAATCCAGGACTTTGTTTATACTAGGCAAGCACTGTACCCATTAAATCACATCCCCGGCCCAAGTCCTTAGTTTAAAGGAAAAAAAAAAAAGTGTGTTGCCATCTTGTAATTTAACCTATAAAGATTAGACTCAATATAGATGTTTTTACAGATTATTTACAAAAGTTTCTAATATTAGAAATGACACGAGCTCGGGAGATGGTTTAGTGGAAACAAACTCTTACTCTGCAAACATTAGGCTCCCAAGAAGCTGTCCTAAACTCTCTTTTTTATGGGTGTGTGTCTAGAATTCCTTTTTAAAGCTCTCTCGAGTTTTATGTGGATGTAGTCAGCCCATATTGGCGCTATGTAGGCCCAGCTGGCTTTGAATTCACAGATGCTGCTGACTCTACTCCTGAATATTAAAGGTGTGTGCCACCATGCCTGGTGGTTCATTTCTTTTTTTTCCCTCATTTTTCATTAGCATGAAGGAGAAAAAAGAACTCTTTTGTGGAATTTTGTGCATAAGTGTGCATGTGTGCATGTGCACACACACACATACACACACACACACAACTCTGTGTATGTAATGGACTTCCTTATGTAGTCCATACTAACCTGGATCTTGTGGCAAATTTCCTGCCTCAGCCTGTCAGCTGCTGGGAAGGCAGGTGTGAGCCACCATCCCCAGATCACACAGGGATCTGTATGTATCCTCTGAAGACAGAGGGTAGGTGTGAGCCACCATCCCCAGATCACACTTGACTCAGTATGTCCCCTCTGAAGACAGAAGGCAGGTGTGAGCCACCATCCCCAGATCACACTTGACTCAGTATGTCCCCCCTGAAGACGGAAGGCAGGTGTGAGCCACCATCCCCAGATCACACTGGACTCAGTATGTCCCCCCTGAAGACGGAAGGCAGGTGTGAGCCACCATCCCCAGATCACACTGGGCTCAGTATGTCCCCCCTGAAGACGGAGGGCAGGTGTGAGCCACCATCCCCAGATCACACTGGACTCAGTATGTCCCCTGTGAAGATGACTCTAGACACGGATGCACTATTGCACTTTGCCTGGATGCTCCTAATCTACCAGGACATTCGACAACCATTGTTCCCTGCCACCTTTCATATTTAGCAGTCATGAGGAGAGACAGAGACTCTGCCTTGTCCTGGGTTTGGAGCTGAAGTAGCTGCTAGAAAGAAAGCAGCTCCACATCCCTGCTTCCTCCTTTTTCACTGGAGTTTGAACCCAGGTGCATGCCAGGCAGGCACTCTACCACTGAGCTACTCCTCCCTCCACCCCCACTCCTCCACTGCCTCCCCCCCCTTCCTCAGTGTGGGTCTGTGTGTAATTTGGTAACCTCCATTTTCTTTTCTTTGACCTTTAGATTCATTCCCAGGCTCCCCAAAACATAGATGCTCTAGCTCCTTATCATCAAACGGTCTGACTGATGGTCAACAATAGACTCCAGTCCCCAAGTCTCTCTGGAGCTGCACAAAAGAACAGGTGAGACTGTCCCGAGACGACCTGAGAGAGCCAAGCTCTCATTGGTCACATGGGCCCTGAAGGCGTGGTTCCTACTGGGGACCGTCCTGTCCTCACGTCACTTAGGTCCCCAACTCCCCCTCCCCCACCCCCCATCCAGACCTTGGGGCTCAGGTTGCAGACTCACCTTTCAGGCTCCCTGGTACTCATTAAGGAACTGCAGGAGACGCTGCCAACTCGCCGCCGAGCAGCCTAACAATTAGGTTGGGGGGCGGGGGGGGGGGAGATTGCCCTGGCTAAACCAGCTCCCTGGAGCCATTTTCACACTTTACCTTACTTTGTTTCTAAAATGTCTGACAGGAGAAAGGAGAATGCTTGGCTCTACGCCCCTCCCTTGAGCCCACCTGTGCACCTGGCCGGGAGCACCCAGCCCAGCAGCAGCAAGTGGGAACACCCAGTGTCAATGCCACCACCCCAGGGCAGGAGCTCACCACACGCAGTGCAGGTACGGGAAGTGCACAGAGGATAGCAGCTCACAGAAGACTCGGTCACTGATCCAGCAGAAGAGGGCGAGGGCCCACCAGAGGCCGGAGAAGAGGCCCAGCTTAAACACGCGGACATTGTCACACCTGCAAGGCAGAGGGAGAGGGTCAGTTCTGGTGGCCGTAGGGTCTGCTGGCTACCTACCTCTCCTGTAGCTCCACAACTTGTCTTCTGCTCCAGCTCTTGGCATTGGCGTCTTACCGAACATAGCCACAGATGTAAATATTACAGGTACACACGGGCTCACATGACCTTATTTCCCACCAGTCCTGGCCCCGACTCCAGATGCAGAGAACCCACCGTCTTGACAGGGTACCCTGATGTCTGACACAGATACAAGTTCAACTCGTCTTTCCTCCTGCCCACAGACCCCACATCCAGTTTCTTAGCTCTTCTTTCAGAATCTACCCCAAATCTGCCTTCTTACTGTATGGGTCCAGGCCCCCATCATCTCCTCCTCTCTAACCTACTGTCACCTTTGTCCTTGTAGTCAGCTGACAATGTTCTGCTCCAGGCCCTAATGAGAGAGAGCATTCACAGTGGCCAAGGCCTGTGCCCACGCGTGGGCTCCCCTTCCTTTTCTCCCCATGGTCCTCACTCACCTTTGCTCAAACTATGCTGTTCCTCAAACACTCTGGGGCTCAGCATGAATGGGCCCTACAACCTTCCTGCTTGCTTTGTCTTTGCCCGGGGTACCCTTCCCTTTACATGGCCCTGTGGTTATCTGTCTCCAAGAGTCTGCTCAGGCAGCCAGTGTGGTTAGAATGAGACCTTCTCATTGAATGAATCCTTGGTCCTCAGTGGGTGGCGCGGTCTGCCTTTTCGCAGGAAGTACACCTGGAAGTGGGCTTTGAGAGTTTAAAGACTCATGCAATTTTGAGCTTGCCCTCACTGCTTCCTGTTTGCTGTTTATGACATGAGCTACCAGCTTGCCACCATGTTTCCTGCTATGATGGTGATGGACTCTTGTGCCTCTGGAAGTGTGAGCCCGAAGAAACCCTTCCTTCTATGAGTTGCCTTGGCTCTCCACGCACTGACAGTAAAGCCCTGATACTGAAGACAGCACATACCCAACTCACGGAATACTGGGAATTTAAGCTGATGCCTACCTAGAGCCTTCACCCCTATGGACAAGTATTCATGGTACTGGAAGGTAGTCCTCATGCTACCAAAGGAGAGAGATAAACACCAAACAGTTACAAACCCTTTGATCTACAAGAGTGACTTTCCCGCCTGCAAGATCTGTTGGTAGAATAGTGGCCCAAAACTTCTAAGTGCTCTAAACCATGGAGCCATCTCTCCAGCCCCCAGGAAAAGTTGTTTTTAAAGTATTTTAAATACAAGAGAATCTTCTAGCAGTGTGATTTAAACATCCCAAAGTTCAACAATGTGAGGTCATGACCCTGAATCAGAATAAGCTTTCATTTTCTCCTGGTGAGAGAAGGTTCAGAACAAACACTGAAACTCTAATAGTCAGACACACTTCAGGAAGGAAGGCTAGAGAGAAGCAAGGCGATAAAAGGCAGACTTTCCTCTTTGGCCCCCGGGGGAAAGCAAGGCACCATGAGACAAACTGGTGTGGACATGCCATGCCTTATGAAAACAAACAGGAGAGATGCTGGCAAGAAATGCGAAGAGTGACAAGAGCACCAAGAGCGCCCCTTTTCCTGGGAATCTTTTTCCCCCTTTGGTTTTTTGAGACAGGGTTTCCCAGTAGCTATGGAGCCAGTCCTGGAACTTACTCTGTAGACCAGGCTGTCCTCGAACTCACAGAGATCCACCTGCCTCTACCGTGTGTGTGTGTGTGTGTGTGTGTGTGTGTGTGTGTGTGTAGGTGTGTGTGTGTTGCGGGGGTGTTCAACTTATGGGGGCAGCAGAGATGTATGTGAAAGACTGAATTTTATCCACATTGCCATGCTAACGAGTAGAACAATGAGCAAGACCAGAGGAGATGGTCAGGAAAAAAGCTTCCGGCTTGGGCATCTGAACAGATAGTATCCCTATTTAGCACAACAGGAAACTCAGAGAAGACGACGGATGAGAGAGACAGGTAACTCTCCACGCCGGTGACTTCTGCAATTACATAAGTCAGGAAAGCAGCTAATAGATTAAAAAAAAAAAAAAAAGACACTATAGATAAGAAAGACTGGGTTTCAGTGTGGTGGTGCAGGTGTTTAATCCAGGAGGCCAAGGCAGGCAGATCTCTGAGTTCAAGGCCAGCCTGGTTTATATGGTGAGTTTCAGGACAGTCTGGGCTACACAGGAAGACCCTATCTCAAAATAAAACAAAAACAAATACAAAAAAACAAAACAAACAAACAAACAACAACAACAAAAACATTTAAATCTAGAATACTCTACTCACTTCAGGCCAAAAAGAAGCCAGCACCACTGGACTGAATGCCCCAAATGTCATGCATTTTACATATCTTCAACAGCTACTTAGTCACATGTCTTCCACAGACCTTTAATATCTGTTAGTATCCAGGCTTGGATAGATGGGAAGTTGAAAGCTGGCCCCAAACCTCAGGCACCAGAACTTCAGGCCACAAATAATGAGAAAAGGCCATTCAGTGGGCATCTCCAGTCAAGAACACAGGGAGGACCCCTCGATAGAAAAGGAAGGGTTCATACAAGAGAAGCTAAAACTGCAGGAGGTATTTGTCTCTTTTTCTATTGCTAGGAGTCCTTCTTCAAACTTAGGGACTTATGGAAGGCAGCTGATGTGGTGGTTTGAATGAAACTGGCCCCATAAGCTCCGGCGTTTGAACCCTTAGTGCCCAGTTGGTGGCGCTGTTGAGAAGGTGGGGCCTTGCTAGAGGAACTCCGCTGCTTGGGGAGCTCTGAGTATATAATATAGCCTCTCCTTCTTCCAGTTCTCTCTGCCTCCCGCTCCACATTTGCTGTAGAGTCTGTGGTGGCCTCTCTGCTTCCTGGCTCCTGCCGGCATGCCTGCCACTTACTGGCATGCTTCTCTACCACAATGGACCCATCATCACTCCAGAATTGTAAGCCCAAATCAACTCACCCTTCTAGAAGTTGCTGTGGTGGTGGTGTTTGAGCAGAGCAACAGAAAACTAAATAATACAACTAGTATTCCTTTTTTGTTTATTTTTGCTTCAAGACAGTCTCCCTGTGTAACCCTGGCTGGCCTAGTGTAGCTCAGGCTGGCCTTAAGCTCACAGAGATCTGCCTGCCTCTACCCTGAGGCTACCTCCAAGTGCTAGGATTAAAGACAAGCATTACTATATACAGCCACAACTAGTATTTCTTGACTAGCCACCATCAGATAGATTCTGCACTAGATACAACTTATCTGTTTTTTACAAGGAATAGTTCCAAAGAAATGTATTTGCTGTATTTAAAATACTGAATTAATAGTCACTCAATAACATACATGAAAAAAATTAAATCAACTACAGAAATCACTAATATCTTTTAAGAATGCCGACTACACCACATTTCAAATAGTTCTTTGAAATGCAAATATTTAATATTTGATGACATCATCAAGCCATTACTGTAAATTATAAAAAGTGTAATTTTGAAGTTGTATGTGTGTATGTAGGCATGTATGTGTGTTTTTATCTTTCTAACTACAAGCCTTCCTGAGGACTGTTAAAATTTCATTTATTGCCCATTTAAAAACATTACGAAATTGAAGAAGTCAGGGTCTGGGAAGAAACAGAAAACTTGTTGTCAATGTTAAAAAGACACTCTTCCTTAATAATCTTTTATATGAAAAGCAGATTAAGTTCTATTGTAACTCCTTCCTCTACATACAGCAAATACTGAGATAATATTCAAGGAGTTAAGTAGTTAATATTAATCTGTCTCTAACAAAACTTTATATGCAAATAAGATATTTATATAGAGACAGAGTATAATTTTCTTAATTTCATTCTATTACA